CTTTTCACCATGAACTGAACTTTGCAAATTTTGCTTCCCTTTTATCTCCAAAACTGGCAGAGAAAAGTCCATAGTTACTATTGAACTTGAATAGGAAGACATATACTGGCAATCTTACTGTGACCTTGAAATTGAACTTTGACCTACCTTACGATGAACTTTAATTTGATTGTATCATTTTTAGTTATATATATTTTTTGCATATTTTGAAAATTCTTGTTGATTGCATTTTTACAGATTGTCAAGCACAAGACTGGTGGCTGTGTCCCTTATTTTGTGTATGTGGGGGTCTGTACGAATGCGCTTGCTCCAGCTGGTGGTACAATATTCGGAGGCGGTATCGCCTCTCTGATCCTCTAGTTAATATTGCTGATACAACTTGACAATTTTTTCATTGTTTGGTCAGCCGCCATGTTGGTGAGTAGCTCTTCTTGGCCAGTAATATATCCAAGAAGAGCCACTCGCCAACATGGCTGCCAACCGGACAATATGAAAGTCATGCTGATTTGTTAAGTTATACCAACGATATTACTTACCTAGTAATATAGGTTATTTTTATACCACCCTACTTTGCTGGGAATGGTCATTTCTTTAGAGTAATTGCAACTGGATTTGATTTTTGAAGTGTATTGCGCTGTGTTGCGCTGTATTGCGGTGTATTGCGCATTTCAGTCACACCGGGCGAGCTCAGCAGTTTGGAGCCTGTACCCTGTGGCTACACTGTACAGGTACCTGGGGTATTGGCACACTTCGCCTAGCCAGGGGCAAGGGTCATTCTGTGGCCAGATAAAGACAATCCAATGGGGAAAATTGTTTATAGTCATTACGTTAAAAATTATAACTTCCATGATAATGCCCTCTCGCTCATGAGTCATGGTTTACATTGTTTTTATATTGTATAATTTTTTCAGATGGCCAAGTATGTTAGCCAAATACTCCAGAAAAGTGTCATACCTCTGGAAGGAAGAATACAGGAAAAGGCATCTGATTGGAAAAAGAGTCAAAGAAAAAGTGAGAAGTATGTCTCAGGAATATTTCAACAAAGAAGAAGTCTCCAAAGAAGGTTTTGAGATCTTTGAAGCACTAATGCAAGGAAACGAACATGGAGCAAGCTTCATAATTGATGAATTAATGACCATTGTTCATGATGGAAATAGGTAATGAAGGTGTAAAATATCCCTTTAACAATAATATCCTGACAAACACTGGGCTGCCATGTTGGAGTTATGAACTTTTGAATGCCTGACTGCTGCCCCCATTTATATAGATGCGTCACCTGACTTGGCAGCCCTGGAAACCTGACAAAAGTAATGCTGTTTTTATTTTTTTCTGCATATAAAGAAAATATCTGTAATATAGATAACACATCTGAAAGAAAACTGATAGGCTTGTTGTCTTCACACTTACTAGTATGATCAATATTAATAAAATGCATGTCGAGTTTGAAAATCGGCTTGATTGGACCATTTTCCCAATGATGTTTTGCTGTTTTTTTGCTTTTTTAGCATATTTTATACAATGTGCAATACAGTTATACAAATCTTGGTACAACTTCTCTTTAAGCATTGAATTGGCAGTATTTGTAGCTTGATAACTTACTTGTATCATAATCTTTGTCGTTATTTTGATATTTCTCTAAATGACACCCTGTATATTATTTGGAAATAAGATGCTCAAAGCCTAATATCTGTTCTGTCTTTTTATAAGAATAAAGCAATGAAAAAGTTTGAATTGTAAAAGAAACATATTTTTCACCCACAGCTCAAAGAATCTGACTGAAAAATACTATGCAGAGAAAGTACTTCGCTTTATTCAACAACAGCGCCTTAAAAAGGAGTGGGGAAACTTCCTATCTCAGCCACCCAGCAGACAGAGTTTAGAAAAGGGTAAGACACACAGGGCATTAAGTATCCCAAGTAACATAATAATAATAATGATAATAATACAACTTTTAGTCTTCTGGTATTACGTATAGTGAATTTTGATTTCATGTCTTGCATGTAGACGTTTAAGTTGTATTTGAAGTGAGCATGGATTCCCATTAAGCTTATAAACCACTTGTACTAGTTTCTTATATGTCTAAAAAAAGAACATGTCAAGTCATAAACCAAATTGCTTGCTTATTCAAATGAATTACCCAAAAACGACTGAAGCTTGCACATAGCACAGAAAGAAAGCAGACAACATCTGTTCAAACATTTTTTCAGGAAATAAGAAATGATGCCCTTTGGAATTTCTTTCAGTTCTGCTATTTCAAACTCTGTGGTGGCATGTTGTCAAGGCTTGTGGCAAAAGTTTGCCTTCAAATGCATCTTAAAAATTCTTGTTAAAATCCTTGATGAAGATATGAGTGTTTGAGAAACCCATCTTTGGATATTAAAGTTTTGTAATGGTATTTGATTTATGTATATACAGGTGCAGTGCTACTTGCTCAGTGGTGCCAGCCCACAGTTGACATCACAATAAATGGGGTCAGTGACCAGTTAGATGTCATTGCAACAAAGGTCCAGAAATTATTGAGTGAGCGCTTCAAGGACCATCCTGCTTGCAAAGGGGAACTGTTGGATGTTACAGGTAGGTGCGGAAATTTTAACACACTTTATATCATATTTTTCTTTTCAAAACGTTCATTTTCCTTGATAGATTCAGATATACGTTTAGCATGTTACCGAATTTAAAATTTCTTGGAATTTAGATAAAAACAGTTGCAGTTCCCAAAACTACTCTCCTGTTTGTAAGGTACAGTTGAACAGCTTGGTCTGTCTTTGCAGAGGTGCAGTCTTCTAGATGGGAACCAGTGCAGTGTAAAATGGTGCTTGAAGCAGTCAACTATGTGCTGTATCAGGAGCTTGAGTTTCATGGAAATTCTGATGATTATTACTTGCCAGATAATTCATACATAAACAGGGTTAGTATATCATTAATGCATACAAGTTAGTGCATATGGGGCATACAATTTTCGCTAAGACATACACTTGTGCATAATGAATAAATAAATCTGATGTGTCAGCCATAGCACTGACCTCTATACAAGAACATTATCGAAGAAAACGGATAGATGTAAGTACAAGGTAAAAAGTTTGTTTTTTTTATTTTAGAACAATACCCCTTTCCCCCCAAAGACAATTATCCCAGGTGATTCCCCCCCAAGACAATCCCCTTCCCAAGAGAGAATATACACTGATTTTGAATCATCTGTTTGAGGCATTTATACATTTCTTGAATATTTTATTGAAAAAAAAAGAAAGAATACAGAAAATATAATAAAAACAAAAGTATTGGCTATTAATTACAAGATACTGGAAGCTCATTTACCTAAAACAGGCGCTTAAGTTAGAAGCACAGTCTGAGGGGATTATTTGCTTAAAGTTGTTCAGGTTTTTAAGATATTTAAATTTTTTTCTGCACATTGCCATCTCCATGTTGTGACTGAACTCCCATGAGCCAAAGCCCTGTGCTCTGTGTCTCTCTCTCTCTCTCTCACTCACTCTCACAAATCAACAGTGTTGAAAAGTTGACTACAGCATTTCACCTGTATCTGTATCTGTATTTTGTCGGTCATGACCGATCGGACCGACAGTTTCAGCATGTCTGAAGTGAGAATTGCAGTGATTATTTCTTCCTTGTGATAAAACTTACCTTGTCAGTTCAAGCAGTAGAACCTCCCAGTGGCAAGTAAATTTCACTTCATACTGTGCCAATGTGGTGATAAAACTTACCTTGTCAGTTCAGGCAGTAGGACCTCCCAATGGCAAGTCTGATTCACTCAGTATTGTGCCAGTGCTGTGATGTCCCTCTTAATGGAAGGGCCACATGAGAAACCACCCAATGACAAACTCTTCCATTTGCTATACCTGTTTATTGTTGCACGCATGTACCTTTGCCAGTTGCAGGTAGTAGAACCACTTCTGTTCAGCTTTGAGCATATATTCTCCATTTAACTAATGGAGGACATTTTAGCATGCCCGCAGTTTTAAATTATGTACCCTGAAATATATATATATAATGTATCCTTATTTGAGTTCCTTATTTTCTTTTATTTTTTATATATTTATGTATTATCTATCTCTCTCTTTCTCAACATAAGTGTTGAAAAGTTTGATGACAATATAATGATTATATTCTGAAATTTTGACATTATGAATTAGTGAAACTGCTTGAACCCAAAACCTTAATGGAACTGAAATGAGGATGTATTCAATTAAGAAGCAGGTCCCCTACCCTTTTACTGTATCATGTGTGGGGTGACACACCCTGTGCATGGCATAGATGATGTTTTTAAATGATGTTAGGGATGTAGATATGTGGATTTAGTTTTTTAAAACAGTTTTTAAAAGTTGCCTTTTTCATACCTTGGAGGACAATAAATTTAATAAAACAGTCCTTGGGACTGTGAAGTAGAGTGCCAAGTGATGTACCTTGATTATAGGCAGGCAGCGTGATGAAGGGTGGGGGGGGGGGGGGCATAAAAAGCATCTGTTAGTTCAACAAGGGATACATGGATAAGTGAGATTGTCTGTTTACTCTACCTGGAGATGCATTTTGATTATACCCAGGCATTTACAATTTTTCTCAATATTACATTGTTCATTCTCACAACTATATTCATTACAGGGTGGACTGTTTAAGGGGGGGGGGTTGTCCTGATACCATCTTTTTTGTACTGTGTATAATCTAATTGAACATTAATTATGTGTTTGTTTTCATGCATAATGAGAAAAAATTAATCACCACTTATTTTTGCTGTTTCAGGTTTTAGAGACAAAGACGGGCATCCCTATCTCCCTGGCTGTGGTGTACTGTAGTGTGGCACTTAGACTTGGGGTGGTGTGTGAACCAGTTAATTTCCCCTCACATTTCTTGCTCAGGTGGCTGCAAAATCCGAAGTATGTGCTCTCTTTCTTGGGTAAAGACAGGGGAGGAAAAGTTTTTTTAAAGTAATTAAGTGTGTTATTGGCCAAATTTTATTACTAGTTGTTTAAAAAGCATTAGTTTTGTGATGTCAAAAACTTATCATTGTCTTCTACAATAATCTTGCTATTTCAGTAATCTTGCATTCTTTAAGATATTCTTGGATCATGTTATTTGAGTTTGGGTCTCCATATTTTTAGCCTACCAGAAGAGCAGCAGTACACATACATAGATGTATTTCATGAAGGACGCTTCATGGATGAAAACCAGTGCACAAATCTTCTACCATATAACACATACACTATAAACAGGCATGTCTTTGATCCTGCAATGCCTTTAATGGTGAGTACAGCAATCAACTTTTTGTACCTAGCCATGTTATTCTGGGTTCATTTGATATGTTCAATTTTTATGTACAGACACAGATGTGTCTGTACATATAGCCATCATCTGCGTCTGTCGTCGCCGTCGCCGTCGTCGCTGTCGTCGCCGTCGCCGTCGCCGTGCACTTTTACCGATAACACGATAAGTGGAAAACCATTTTGCCTTTTGATTTGAAACTTGCAGAACTGATGAATATTCATAATACACAGGTCAAGTTCGAAAATCAGCATGATCGGGTCACTCTTAGGGAATTTATGCTGTTTTTTCACTTTTTTCAACATATATGCAGCACCGATAACACGATAAGTGGAAAACCATTGTACCTTTTG